GGGGGGGGGGGAGAAAGGGGGAGGCAGAGTAGGCAGTGAAAGAGAGAGAACCTAGGGCAGAAGACGGGTTTGTGTTTCGGCTTCAAAGTTTCTTTCTGCAATCTGCTTTCCAGTTTGATGTCTGAAGGGGAGACTGACTGTTAATATCTTCGTTGTTGCTGTTCGTATCCAATGGGGCCATGCCTCCAGATCTTGCACGCTCCATCCTCAGGCTCCTCTGATGGTTTCCGCACCGTTCTTTAAGGTACAAACAGCGTAGCAAATCCGTGTAAGTGCATACTGTTTGTTGAAAATGCTGATTATGCATGGGGTTGTCGACTTGTTTATTCATTCTTTGTTAATCCATTTTTTTTTCTTAACTTTTTTTGTCAGTTTGGTTCCATGGGAGCGTCCTATTCTAATAAATCTGTGAGCTTTCAGAGCTCCATTGACCCCCTCGCTGAACCCTATGCTCGACGGTTCTTCTCCAGCGGGGGTTTTCCGCAAGATAAGTCTGTCCGGGGCCCTCTTCGGGTCTGGTGCATATCGTATTTCGGCAGTCGGGGTACCATTCCTTGAGTAGATAAGCCTCCTGCATCTGGCTGACATGTGTGTCTAGGTGTAGTCAGTACTGTTTAGGCCATCCCGTCTTAGATCTGGGGTCTTCCTCTATATGCTTGGCACATTTCCGTGAATCGGAGAACTCTTTGCTAAACTAGGTCTGCCTTCTGTAGATGAACAGGATGTTTCTTGCTGACATGTGTCCAGGTGTCGTCAGGGCCCTTTAGACAGGACCCTATATGTGAAGGCATGGAATCTTTGTCTATAGGCATAGGCTTGGCACGTTTCAGTGAAGTCAGGCACGGAGTCTTTGTCTATAGGCCTGGTACGTGTCAGTGAAGTCTGTGACCTGATTTGCGGCCATCTCGGCTGGACCCTGTTGGTTCAGCTATCTATAGTGATGCCTTTCTCACACTAGGAGTTTTCCTGGATGTATATGACCACTTTTCCAACCCGGCTTGGATGCACCTGACTGCAATTACGTGCACAGAGAACTGGAATGAGTGACACTTGGTACCTTCTCAGATGTCTTTCCAGCCCTCCATGCCTTCATCTAGAGACTTGGTTGGTCTCTGTGAAATCTCGCAGAATACGACAGCGTAATCTCTTTAAACGAGATTATTATTCATTCTTCAATATGGATTGAATATACTTGAATATATTTCATCTTGTTTATACTATTATTCTATTATATCATTATATCATACTATATCCTATATGATTATATTCTTTCTATATTGCTCTTAAATTCAAGAATAATAAAT